GTAATTTGAAAATTAATGCACAGAATTTAGCAACTTGAAATGGAATCTTAGAATTATTACCAGATAAAAACCAATGAAGCCTTGCTTTATTGGTGTTTATGTGGCCGGGGATCGAGCTTCCATGATGGCCATGTCCCTTGAAAGAGCTCAGTAGTTGCTGGTTCTTCAGCCAACCACAGGGACCAAACTGACCCTCCTCCCTACTTGCTGTTCTTTAGTTTTGCCTCTACAAAGAACTGTGTTCAAGAAAGAAATCTGCAGACCCTCTCATGATCCTTAACTCTGTCTTGCTTCCGAAGGAGAAAGTTGCTACATCTAGCATTCACTCCGTTGTTTTACCAAAACCTCACTGGAACAGAAAAAAGATGGGGGACAAAACCACATTCAGATGCCCCAGGCCAGTGCTGTACTGACTGCAGAGTCACCCCTGAAGGGCCACAGAATGGCCATAAATCTATGCAGGCGGTACCATAAAACCGAGAGATCAAAGGAAGTGAAACCGGCAAACGACCATAAAATCCAACAAAGAAAGCGAAAAGTGGCATGCAATGTAGAGCGGAATTTCTGTTCCAACGTGGGTTTGGTAAAACGGCGGAGTGACTGCTAGATACCAAAGGGGCCAATGATAACTGCGTTGCAATGAACTGGTCCTTAAGGTGCCAGAACCAAACAAAGGTTAGTGAAAAGGAGGGCCAATATTAAAACCTTTCCATAAAAAATAAAAAGAGGTACATGTATTTATTAATAATAACAAATGTTAAAACATATATAGGGGCCCATTTACAACCAATGTATATAAAACATAACAATATCAAGGGCTTAAAAAGTTGACCTATATGGCACAAAAAGAAAGTTGGAGGACTGAAATCTCCCTCCCTCATGTCTAATGTACTTTCAAGGACTTCCAAAGCCTCACTGTGCGGTATGTTAGTATATAATGATACCACATCAAGGGTTACAAAAAGCATATCTTCATATTCCATCCTGATCTTATTAATATGTCCCAGAAAGTCCATAGTGTCCCTAAGATATGTTCTAGTCTTAGGGACGAAGGGTTTTAAAAAAATCATCTAGATAGCTAGCTAATGGTTCCAGGATAAATAGACCCATATCCAGAGACCTTAAGGTGCCAGGACATTCTTCTCTTTCATTTCAGAGGGGGGAACAGAAGGCAGTGCTGGGAAATCTGCTCAGGTTCTCCTGTATTTCCCCCTTAGACGTTCTTGTATCAAACCCTCAAACCTCTAACCTATACTCTTGCCTGTGATTGGATCTACCAGTCTTTTTTAACCTTAGAAAGGAGCCAGGGGCACACGTTAGATCAAAGCCATTACACCACGTGTCACAAACCTGATAGAGATCACCCCCATCCCAGCTGCTGTTATGTCTGTTATGGGGGAAAAAAGACAGGCTCCTGTATCGAACCTGTTTTTTTCCCCCTGGTGGGGGTAACAGCAGCTCAGAGAAAGGGGGCCTGAATTCTATTGGGAAAAGAGCACAAGAAAAAGGATTAAACCTCCTGTCTAGGTTTGCCAGTTCTGTGTTGGGAATGAATTGGAGATTTTAGGGGTGGAGCCCAGGGAGGGTGGGGTTTGGGGACGGGAGGGACCTTAGCCAGGTATGATACCATACAGTCCACTGTCCAAAGTGGCCATTTTCTTCGAGAGAACTGACCTTGGTAGTCTAGAGAACAAATAAAAGTAACAGCAGGGGATCTCCAGGTGCCACCTGGAGGTTGGCATCCCTACTAGCACCAAGCCACATTTCCTCTCCCGATCCCTGGCGGCTTTTTAAAGCTAAAACCCAACCAAACAAACAACCCGACAACTGCGGCTCTCTCATGTAATTAACATGCAATTTGACCCTGATTTGCTCCCCAAAAGGGCTGGAATTTAGAAGAATTATCTGGAGATGCTGAAATGTAGAGAGCCAGTCTGGTGTAGTGGCTAATTTTGGAGAACTGGGTTTGATTCCCCACTCCTCCACATGCAGCTGCTGGTGTGACCTTGGGTCAGTCATAAGTTCTTTCAGAGCTGTTCTCTCAGGGGCAGTTCTCGAGAGAGCTCTCTCAGCCCCACCTACCTCACAGGGTGTCTGTTGTGGGGAGGGGAAGGGAAAGGAGATTGTAAGCCGCTCTGAGACCCCATTGGGTAGTGAAGGGCGGGGTATAAATCCAATCTCTTCTCTTCTTCATCTATTCTTCTTCTATGGCCTCCCCCCCAAATTCCCCAACTGCAAAATGGTAAGTGAAGGTCTCCTCCCACACAGGAGTTTCCCCTCCACATGAGTCTTCCGGTTTATGGTGACACGCAGGCAGACACATCTCCTGGACGTCCTGGGGATGTAAACTGCACACCAGCATGTGGGAGGGGGTCTGATGGGTCGTGAACCCCCAGAGCCTTGGTAAAATGCTCCCAGCCAGGGGGCTTTTGAGGGGCGACCTCTTCAAACTTCGGGAACACCCTTGAAAATCGGGGGCAACAATATTAGGATTTTTAAAGACATTCCATTTGATATAAGGCAGAAGAGAAAGAACTATAAAGAATTAACCCTTTTCTTACAAACAAATGGCATCAGTTACAGGTGGTTAATTCCAGAATGCGTCATTTTCAAGCTCAACCAGAAGAGGGCAAAGGGGAGGAAGAAGAAAGTAAATCTGATGGTGAGTTGGGCTCAGGGTCTTCGGATGAGGACTCCCCCTCTGAAAAGGGGCGGCTGCCCCCAAAAGCTCATATAAACTGAGGATTAGAAAAGATAAGAATAAATAAGGGCTGAAGGACTTTGATTTGTGCCTGAAAAAATGTTGAAATAACTTGGGGATGCTCTGGGAACTTCTTTAAACAGTTAAAGGGATGGTTAAGGGATGGTTAAACGATAATTAATCTAGCATAACTGACTAAGTTCATTGTATTATTAGTAGCTTTTTGAAAATAGCATGGTGATAAGCTGATGTATTGATCTCCTACCCTTGGGTTTTTAGTTAGTTGTGGGTCTTTTTTCTTTCCCCCCTAGATGTAATTTCCCTTCCCTATATTTTCTGTTGTAGTTTTGTAGTCTGTAAAAAAATCAATAAAAACCTCCCCCCAGGGGGGATGAAAAAAAAAGAGAGTTTCCCCTCCATATGAACATCAGAAACCCCCCCATAGAAAAGGCAAGTATCCAGATTACGTGGGAGCCCAGTCCATACATGGCTCATCAACCTCCTGTTTTTTGCCTTTGACTCTGGAGAAAATAGAAACCTCATTTTGTTTCTGGTTTAAGGGGGAGATGTCCGGGTGGCAGTCGGGAGTAAACCGAAGAGGAGCAGTGGTTGGAGGGCTACAAGAACCATGCATCTTGCAGCCAACCAGTGGCCAAGGAAACAGTGATTGAATCTACAGCCAGATTCACGTCTCTGTAGGGCTGCCTGGACCACAGGGGCCATTCAGCCCAGCTTACTCCTTGCCCATGTAACATCCTACCAGCAAATTGATCACCCGATGGTACTTCATTCCAGAAAAACTACATAAGATAAACCCGGCGTTAAGTTCACAATGCTGGAAGAAATGTGGTCACATAGGTTCGTATTTCCACTGCTGGTGGGAGTGTCCCATCATACAGGCTTTTTGGGAAGAGATTGCAGGGATAATTAGTGATATTACATCAGCAAACATTTCAGTTAGCCCGAAATTAGTTCTTTTCGATATGATAGAGGAAGTAACGGCTACTAGGGCTCAGAAAGATCTTATATCCAAACTTTTGGCTGCAGCTCGTCTGACCATAGCGGTGGGATGGAAAGATAGTGGCCCTCCCCGGATACAAACATGGTATGACAAAATCTGGGACTTATTTATATTAGGGAAACTGACACAGGTCACGCAAGCTACATTGAGAGATACTTCAAAGGCTTATGAGCGATTTGTTGCAGTGTGGTCTAGAGTACTTCAATAGATGTCAGAGAATGATATAATCCCGTCTAAGGTGGCTTATGTCCCCTGGATTCGTTTTTAAATTCTATCCTTGGTCAAGTTCGTAGGACACAACACTTTAGCTCAATCACCATCTGAGAAATTGTCTTTAATCGAGCCATTATCGCATTCAGCATACATAATGAAGGATGACGATTTTGGTTTATTGTTACGCAGACTGGTTTGGGGTTGGCTATGTTTTCTAAGCTTTTCCTTGGTTATTTACTTGCTGTATTGGTTGGCTCTTTTGACGTGTTTGAATATGTTGTTATGCTGTTTTACTCTTCTTAATTAAATTTTTTTAAAAAAATTCCTACCATCCACCTCTTTTCGCCTCCACATTCTCAACCTCTCCCTCTCTGAGTTATCTGTTCTAAACAATAATAGCCCCGAGTCTCAGAAGCCAAGCCGGTGAACTAAATGCAAACGGGTTTCATTTGCCTAATGTATAGTTTGAATGCAGAGTCTGGATTTCCTAGGTGCGAAAACTCACAGGTATCAGTCACAGGCCCCTGGCCATGTATACCTGGAAGCTTCAAGGACCTTGAAGAGGAGGTGTCAAAATTCACAGGGCTGTCGAGGTGTATCATTTCTAGGAAGACACATCTGGAAGCGGATGTTTTCTCACACCCCGCCAGGTAGCTTGGAGGCATGGCCGAACCAAAACCTAACTGAGGCACCTGGCCAGGATTTTGTGGGGCAATTCTTTTTTGGTGGGACTGCCATTGTTTTTATGTCAAAAAAAACAGAGAGATCACGGGAAGGATGCAAACAATGATGAGGTCACGGGAAGGAAACACTACTCACTGCAAAACAGCAGTCTAAGCCCCCCGTCACACGGGAGGATTTGCCCCGCGGAACGGACAGATTGTGGGCGGATTAAACTGGCGCGATCAGATGCCAACATCTGGCAAGCGTTGTGCCCCCGCCCACAACCCGTCCCTTCCGGCCGAAGAAGCGGAGTTTAAAAAACCCTGCAAAACATTACTACCTACCTGAAAATGCGCAGTAGGGGCAGCCATGTGATCGGTGACGCACCCGTCTCCCGCAACATGTGAGGCCCCCTGCCGAACTGCGCATGTGCACACATGCGCAGCTGACTCACCTCGCTCTCCTGTCCATGGCTTCCCCCTCGGCATCTGATCACACTGGGGAGCATTTGCGCAGCGGCTCGGGGAATCTGTCTGATTCCACTGCCGCGCTTCTCTTTTGCTGCGAAAGCCGCACTTCCACCACGGCTTTTCCTGCAGTGTGTAAAGGTAAAGGTTTCCCTTGCTCGAAAGCCAGTCGAGTCCGACTCTAGGGTTGCGGTGCTCATCTCCGTTTCAAAGCCGAAGAGCCAGCGCTGTTCGAAGACGTTTCCGTGGTCATGTGGCTGGCATGACTAAACATCAAGGTGCACGGAATGCTGTTACCTTCCCACCGAAGTGGTACCTATTTATCTACTTGCAATTTCCTACTTTCGAATTGCTAGGTTGGCAGGAGCTGGAACTAGAGACGGGAGCTCACTCCGTCATGCGGTACCCGGGTCTCGAACTGCTGAACTACCGACCTTCCACAGCCTGCAGTTCAGCGTTGTAACCACTTGAGCCACCACAGCTCCTTCCTGCAGTGTGACCGGGGCCTAAATATACCTCCGTAATACTACATCACGGTAGTTTTCATCATTGTTTGCATTATCTTTATGTCCGCTCCAATCCATCCCCAAGCCCGACCACCAGTGGCCACCCCTCTCCTGCAAGGTTTAAAGGGCCCTTCAGCTTATTGGCAGGGAGCACATGGACCGCTGAACAGCTGGAGGGCCCTCTAAATCTTGCAGGGGGGAAGGAGAGGGGTGTGTGCTGTCCCCCACTTCTCAAAAGCATTTAAAGGGGCTGGTCCTTTAAGGAAGGAGGTGGAGCCCCCAAAGGCCCCACTGTAGTTATGGGCTGGCTCTATTATCTCAAGGTACAATCCATGTCATCTAGCCCTGGGATAAGAGAATCCCTGTCCCTCTGGTGAGAGCCACAGAAGCCCTCAAGGAAGGAGCCATCTCTCCCATCTCCAACCCTTGACCTCCAGGAATTCCGCCTACGCAGTGACCTCTGGGCAATATTGAAGCACCGAGGGATAAGTGGAAGCAAAGACTGGACTTACTCCATGCTGCAGAACCGCTTCAGTTCTTCCTTCAGTCTCTTGTTCTCCTCCCTCATCTTATTCAATTCATTAGCTGTTGGGGGGTGGAGGGGAGAAAGAAACGGCTGGGTTAGAGAAAGCGGGGTGTGTTCATGGACGGACGGATGCTGATGGGAGGAAGCATGCATTTCAGAGAGCTGAGCAGAACTCGGCACTTCCCAGACAAAATGAACCCAAAGGACTGTCAGGTTGCACTTCCAGGTACGTAGGCATCATTTAAATGTGCCTGTAAAGTCCCTTCAAGTCGCAGCTGACTTAAGGCAACGCCAGCAAGGGGCTTCCAAGGCAAGTGAGAACCACAGATGGTGTGCCATCCAATGATCCCTCTAAGCTATGGAGTCACGTGAGCAAAAATTCTACTTTGTGAGCTACTGGCATTAAAGTTGTGAGCGAGCGATTTGGCCACTGCGTAAATTCGTTTGCTCTGGAGCCCTCCTTCCTGAGCTATGATAAAAATATGTGAGCTGGAGGCTAAAAAACAGTGAGCTAGCTCACACTAACTCAGCTTAGAGGGAACACTGGTGCCATCGTCTTCCTCTGCAGAGTCTTCCTTGGTGGTCTCCCTTCCACGTACTGACTCTGCTCAGCTTCCGAGATCTGATGAGATCGGGCTCCATGGTGCCGCCTTCCCTCCCAGTCGTTTAAAGAGCATCCTTCAATGTACAAAGTGCTTTACGGTCTCGAATTGTGGCCCCCTTTGTCTCTGTGACACTGGGCTCCCCTTGCATCGATAGAGGACTGAACCTGAGAGAGAAGTCCCGGGCCATAAAATGAGCGAATGCAGTGTAGTGGTTAAAGTGTCGGATTGAGATCCAGGAAACCCAAGTTTGAGTCTCCATTGTGCCTGGAAAGCTAGCTGGATAACTATGGGCCAGCCACACACTTCCAGCCTAACCTACCTTATGCAACTGAGAAAGAAAATAGAGAGACAAATAGAGAGGTAGTTTGCAATGGCCCACCTCTGCATAGTGACCTCAGATATCCTTGGTGGTCTCCCATCCAAGCACTAACCAAGGTCAACCCTGCTTAGCTTCTTGAGATTTGACAAGAAGCGCATGCAACGTAGTGGTTAAAGTGTCGGATTGAGATCCAGGAAACCCAAGTTTGAGTCTCCTTTGTGCCTGGAAAGCTAGCTGGATAACCCTGGGCCAGCCACACACTTCCAGCCTAACCTACCTTATGCAACTGAGAAAGAAACAAGAGAGGGCCGGCTCGCTCACTAGGCGAACTAGGCATTTGCCTAGAGCGGGCTGGCCCTTAGGGGTGCCAAATTGCACCTGCGGCCCCCCGCCAAAAGCCCTGCATTTCCGCAGCCGGGGAAGCTCTTTTGCTGAACCCGGCGCACGGGGGTGGTGGTGGCCAGAAGAGATCCTTGCCTAGGGTGCAAAATAAGCTGGGGCCGGCCTTGACAAGAGACAAATAGAGAGGTGGTTTGCAATGGCCCACCTCTGCATAGTGACCTCAGATATCCTTGGTGGTCTCCCATCCAAGCACTAACCAAGGTCAACCCTGCTTAGCTTCTTGAGATTTGACAAGATCAGGCTACCCAAGGCCAACCAGGTCAGGGAAGGCTTCTACTTAGGGCAGGAAAAAAATGTTGGCCTCAACGTTATGTGTAAAGACATGTTACCGTCTAGCTCCCTCTAGTGAATTACCAGCTTCCCATGGCCTGGAATTGCCAGCTTTATTTTAGTGCACCTATCAAATGTTTTGTGCTGAGGGTAGGGTTGCCAAGTCTGGGTTGGAAAATACCTGGAGACTTTGGGGGTGGAGCCAGGAGAAGGTGTGGTTTGGGGAGGGGAGGGGCCTCAGCAGGGTACAGTGCCACAGAGTCCCCCCTTCAAAGCAGCCGTTTTCTCCAGGGGAGCTGATCTCTGTCGGCTGGGGATCAGTTGTAAAAGCAGGAGATCCCCAGGCCCCACCTGGAGGCTGGCAACACTAGCTGAGGGGAATTCCAACGAGAACACACAACCCAGTCTTTGTGTTTCCCCCCTCCTGGTCAGCTGATGGACATGTTTGCAGCTTTATTTAACAGGGGCTAGGCATGCACAGCCCCAGCTAGTGGCACTGCAGAACTGCACATGAAACACACATTTGCCCATCCAGCTAGGCATATAGACGTGGATGCTTGTTTTCATGCATGTATGGGTTCTTGCTAGATCAGGCTGGATGTGCGTGGAAGCCCAGAGTATACACTTCTTCTGAATGTCTGCTCATCAGATTGGTCCCTGCTGTTTCTGAGAAGCCTGTGGCCCATGGGAGTTAAGGGGAGGGAAACTTTGAAAAAAAAATTAGATCCCGTTTTTCTCCTTAACCTGATCGTATCACTCTCTCCTCTGTCTTACACCCACAACAACAGAACATAAGAAGAGCCCTGCTGGATCAGACCAGTGGTCCATGTAGTCCAGCATCCTGTCTCACACATGGGCCAGCCAGCTCCTCTGGAGGTCCAACAGCAGGGCACAGAGGCTGAGGCCTTCTTAAGAACATAAGAGTGGCCAGCTCTGGGTTGGGAAATACCTGGAGATTTTGAGGGTGGGGCCTGAAGAGGGCAGAGTTTGGGGAGGGAGGACTTCAAAGGGGTATAATGCCATAGAGTCCACCTTCCAAAGTGGTCATTTTCTTCAGGGAAACTGATCTCTGTCATCTGGAGATCAGTGTAATCCAGGAGATCTCCAGCCACCACCTGGAGGTTGGTAACCCCAATAGAAGAGCCCTGCTGGCTCAGACCAGTGGTGCATCTAGCCCAGCATCCTGTCTCACACAGTGGCCAGCCAGTTCCTCTGGAGGGCCAACAACAGGGCATAGAGGCTGAGGCCTTTGTAAGAATATAAGAAGAGCCCTGCTGGATCAGACCAGTGGTCCATCTAATCCAGTGGCCAACCAGTTCCTCTGGATGGCCAACAACAGGGCCCAGAGGCCGAGGCCTTCAAAAGAACATAAGAAGAGCCCTGCTGGATCAGACCGGTGGTCCATCTAGTCCAGCATCCT